GGCCACCCACAGATGCTGTCTGACCCAGGTGTCTCTGATTCAGCCGTTTGCTGCTTAGTGAGGTCACTCTGGCCCACAACCCTAGGAGCACAGAATGCTCACCAGATATCCAGACTAGTACACAGTGAGCCATGATAGCCACGTGCACTTGGGAGACAGGCAGAAGAAGCCATCACGTACCTTCACGATGTCCTCATCAGCTGACCTGCACTCCACAGCCTCTGACACATCCACCACGGAACCGTCCTCTTGAACCCCCACAACTTTGACAGGGACCGAGACGGGCTTTCCGGTGAGAATGGCAGTGTTCAAAACCTCCGTGTCCTGAAGGAGAGAAGAGGTGCCGGTGAGCGAGCTTGGATCCCAGGGAGTGGGGTGAGGCTGGCCAGCACCGCCTCTGCCCTAAGAGCCTGCAGGGATGCAGCCATGTGAGGGTGGGGTCCAGCCAGACTGATGGCCACACCGGCAGCCAGACCCTCTCCTGGCACCCAGCCTCTCGGGGAGCACCGAGCTGCTCCCTCCTCCACCTCCTCCCCTACCCCACACCTCCTGCATCTGCCGGGCTCACATCTGGCACAGGATTTCTCCCCAGCATTCTCCAGGGCTCGGTCTGAGGGTCCTTTGGGTACTGATTGCCTGTTCTGGGCTTAGTAACACAGGAGCACACGCTTCATTTTTGTTTCAAATGAAGAAAGACAACAGCACAAAGAGCAAAGGAGAACTCGTCACATCATAAACCTCTGCACACCTGGGCTGGGCACCGTGGCCCCTCCCTCACCTCTCGTGACCTCAGAGATTCCCCTGCAAACCCTGATGATCCCTGGGGGCTCATGGGTTCTGTCTTCCTAATTCATCTCCATCTGTCAACTTCCTGCTGTCACCTCTCCCAGCTCCCCATCCCTCCCAGCACCTCTGGCCTGGACAGCTACGCTGGCCCCGGGGTTCTCCCTGGGTCTCTCTTCACAGGGCTCAAGATCTCCAACCCAGACTATTTCTCTGCCAGATCAAAATTCCTGGAAAGTGCCCTACTGTTCTTAAGGTAGGGTCCCACTCACTGAGGAGGGCCACCTGGGCCTTGCCCACCTCCTGGTCCTTCTCCTGTCCCCTTATCTCTGTCCCCTGCACAATCTTACCTTCTCACAGTCTGGGAAGCCTCTGCCCCACGTTACCTCCCATGCAGAGGTTCCCTGGCCTGCAAACGGACAAACAAGCCCCTACTCCACAGGGAGCTTATGGACATTGAACAGGCCATCTGTGCCCACCTCAGGGCGGAAGGTGCCGTGAGCACAGCACTCCATGCAGCTGCTACAGTGGAGCTCAGAATGTTCACTCAATTAATGAGCTAAAGAGCCACCTCAAGGCTCACGCAGGGACCACGGTGGAGAAGCTACTTCCACGCCAGGCTGGAGA